CGAACCCCTGAGACTGACTCACCGAACCCCTGGGGTACAATCGAACCCAGGTAAAGAACCACTGTGTTAGGGTGTTGATGTTCTTATAATAAACGTGTAGCCTCCAGAGAAGCCTCTCTCTCTCCATTTGTACCCACTACAGTAGTATCACTGAGTCTACAGTAGTATGTACTGACTGTAGTTGTATCTACCGACTCTACAGTAGCATCTACCGACTCTACAGTACTGACTATTTAGTAGTATCTACCGACTATAATAGTATCAACTTTATAGTAGTGTAGAGGGGAATTGTGAGTAACCAATGAGGGGGGAACAGAAGGAGGTGCGAGCGGGTTGACAGTCAAGGATGACGTAACGTCACGGGTTGCGTAAGGGTCTTTGGAGAGCACCGTCGGGAACATGGGCGGAGCCGAGCTGGGGGGAGGAGCCGCCCAAGGGGTTCTTAAGGGAGACCCCGTGACGAAGGCGGGGACGTCGTGGGGGGCCAGGGTAAGGATTGGCTGAAGAGGGTCTCTCTCCTCGTCGCGGAGCGGTGTTTGCTGAACCCTTGCTCCGGGTAGCCGAGGGCAGGACCCAAATAGTATTCAGTGTCCAGGGTAAAGGACCGAGAGAGTGCAACTACACTGGTGTGAGTATAGGATGTCGAGTATGACAGTGTTTTAATAAACGGCAAAAGCCCTTATAGTATTTATCATCTCCGCGTGGGTCTAATGCACAACAGTAATATCTACTGACTACATTAGTATATTTTTATGCTATAGTAGAATCTACTGACTACAGTATAATCTACTGACTCTATAATAGGATATACCGACTCTATAGTAGTATCTATTGACTCTACAGTAGAATCTACACTCTACAGTAGTATCTACAGACTCTATAATAGTAACTGCACACATTGGGGTGGGGGGAGAAGAGGACATCAACTCTGTTCAGGATTCACCTCGGTGTAGTGCCTCTCTCTGCGTGGGCTTCCTCTTCGCCTTTTTAACGCGAATGAGAACCTCTCTCCCGTTGCCGCTGAGCTCGCGCGCGCGTGTTGCTAGGGGCAACCGCGAGTGGGCGTTACCGCGCATGCGCAGATGCGTGATTTGGGGCCACGATCAGCGTAATAGTAGTAAGTTATAAAGTGAGATTTTAGTAGTTTACATTTAACGGAGGGGAAAAACAAAAAGTGCTTTTTCGTCTGGGGGCTTATTGTGTTGTATCTGTGTACTTTGTTGAAACGTAAACACAACAGTTTGTCAGCTCAAAGCAGTGCAAGGCGTGCGCAGACAGACACAGACAGAATGACAGAGAGACAGACACACAGACAGAGAAAATGTTATTTTATAGGTAAGATATACATATATATTATATGCATACATCGAATGTATTACATGTACATAGGAACCTTATGGCTGGACCACGGGGTCCCGAATAAACGGAAGTCAAAAATCGTAATTAATCAATGTATTGTTGGCAACTCCATCCCACCGCGCACATAAACGCTGCGACCCACCTGGCACGGATCATTCTGTTGTCACGTCGTGTCCAAGCGCAGCAGCGAGGACGAATGCGCAGAAGAGCTGAACAAGCGAATGCTGCACTCCACGCTCGGGTACGGGCAGGATCATAAGTCTTATCCAAAGCTGCTCAAACTGCCTACACGACTTAAGTCCTTCATTTGTCATAATGATATGCATAATACAGTGAAACTGCTCTCTTATCTTCATTATTATTTGTGACCTACCAATGTCTGCAGCCAGGATCAATCGATGGCAATCCTATTACCTGCAGATATTTAACAGATGAGATGCGTTGCACCGTTAATTCCTCCTGTTTGATAATACTTCTCTTGTCCGTATGCAGATAGGTTTTTTTTTGCGGTTAAGCCATAGTCCGCACATACCGCTCGTATCGACGTGGATAAGAGGAGTGGCGACCCACTTCTCTGTAAAGTAACATTGGTATAAACGCTTGGTACAATATGAACAGCGCATTGAAAACGCATACTATTTTTTGTACTGTTTACAAAGTGTATTCACAAATCCACTGAGAAACACGATGATTGACAGAGGGGTGTCAATTATTTTTTCGATATTATATTTAAATAGAGGTACTGCAGGTAAGTAGTTTTCAGTTTTAAAGGCATAGTTTAACGAGACAACACTTGCCACCATCCTTCAAACCCATTGGTGAAAAAGAGCAAAGTTTTTGTTTACATTATAATATAATGTCTATGCGAGAGCCAGGGGGTTTATGGGACCCCCGGGATCCCGCCTAAGGTATTTAATACATTACATATTCCCTTCGTGAATGAATTTACAGCCACCGGAGGCGACTGGGTGGCCTTCAAGCAGCAGTTCTTGACGAACGCCGACTTGGCAGGGTGGACGGAGGCAGGAGACACTGAGAGCACTGCCCGCCGCCCTTGATGACGATGCCCTGGCGGCGTTTCTTATCATCTCGCTGTCGGAGAGGGCCACACTGACTCAAGCCTTTGACCAAATGGCGGCAATTTACGAGCCGCCGTCGAACGTGCACCGCAAGTTTGCTACGTGAAAGAGAGGGGAAACCGAGATGCCCCTCGCCTTCCGTAGCGCACTTTTGGCACTAGCGAAGGCTGCCTTTCCAAGGATGGACCACGACGGACTCGACTTGTTGGTCCTCGAGAAAATTCTGGCTTTAGCTAAGGACCTTAACATTGTCCTGCCAGCTGTAGACGACGATCTTTCGTCCATCAAGGTTGCAAGATGCATTCAGGCTCAACAGCTCTTGCAACGGCACAAGGGGTTGGCGGCGTGTACCGCGCCCCGTGAGGATTTGATTCGGGTCGTTTGACCATAGTGTATCCAGATCCGCTTAGGGCGGAGTTGGTTTGTACATCCCTCGCGCCTCAAGCCTTTTATCGCTCCGCGCGAGTTTGTTCCATCTCCACACCGCAGGGGCAAAGGGTCAGATGTGTCCGGTGAGCCGGGGTGTGTGCCCGCTGAGGTTGGTCCTCAGCGGAGTCGTGTGATCCCATCCTCACCTCAGGTGCTGCGCGCCTGACGCCCCAGTGCCGCCACCTGCATCATCTACACTGGATTCGGGAGAGGAGAACCTGTCGACCCGTTCTACTACAATTTGCGAGGAGCCGGGTTCGACGGGACATTTGCATGTTCCCCCCAGGACCTCCAGGGAGAGCAAGTCCACCTCCCCTGGAGGCCCTGCCACGAGGACTCGATCAAAAACTCTTCGGGTTTCGTGATCCTCACGCACACACACTCCAATACACTGTCAGTTGGTTGTCGCACCGTCTTCGCTGTGGGGGCTGGCGGGGGAGGCCCGGGCATGCGGGCCACGCGGTGGGGCCGCCATTTCGGCGGCTGGCTGGGGCGCTGTTCCCGCCAAAATTTTGCTCCCGCCAATATGGCGGCTAGACAGGGCGCTGATCCCGCCAAAATACCGCTCCCGCCAAATCGGCGGCGAGTCGTGGCGCTGTTCCCGCCAAAATGCCGCTCCCGCCAAAATGCCGCTCCCGCCAATTAAATTGGCGTTTGTGTCTTTCAAATTTCACACTTAACTTCCAATTCAGCAATTTTTGGAAGATCGTAATCAACCAGGCTATGTGTTGTGTTGACCGACCCTCTGTGTTGCATTGCATTAAGCTTCGAAATTTTGCTAGGTTTTATTTGATTTAGTGTACTTTTTCACCTTACCACTCGTCTTGCTACTCATTGACATGCTAATTTTCTCTAACCCCTACCTCTCTCTCCGCCCCCGCCCCCTCTCTCTATTTAAGGCCTCGTCACAGAGACGTTCTCTTTCTATGTATCTCTGTGATATGTCTGCTTATATGTCTGTCTATATGTTTCTGATGATTGCTTGTGTTGCAATCGAAACGTCGTATGCTATTATTTAATTTATTATTTTATCTTTATACGTGACTTTACCGAAAGAACCAAAGAGTAATTCCTGCAGTCACGGAAGCTCCAAATTAAGATTGACAAATGTTGTCGCTTGGCTCTCCAACACACCGGTGTGCTGTACTAGGGACGAATTGGCATGTTCTGTTTATGTGACAACCCTTACTAGTTGGCTGTGTCAGGTGGGGGCAGGTTTTAACATTTATATATTTACGCAATCTAACCCAAAAACCTCTATTATGGATGTTTTATTATCTACTAACTCTATAGTAGTATCTACCAACTCGATAGCAGCATCTACCATCACAACAGCAGTGCATACCGACTTTGTGGTACCTTTCACTGCAGCAGTGCATACTGACTGTGGTAGTACCTGCTACCACTACAGCAGTGCATACCGACTATCGTGGTACCTGCTTTCACTACAGCAGTGCATACCGATTGTGGTAGTACCTGCTATCACTACAGCAGTACATACCGACTGTGGTAGTATCCTGCTATGACAGCAGTGCATGCTGACTCTATAGCACAATCTACGAACCTGACAGAGTGCTGTCCTGAGACCTAGTCCCGTGCAGAGCCCCCATCCTCGCCTAGATTGCCCAGCCAGCCGAGGTGGCAGGCAGGGGACTGGGCCGCGACCCTCCCACCCGCACCACCCCCCCACCCACTCTACAATAGTATCTAAATGCTATATTAGTATCTACCGACCCTATAGTAGTAAGTGCACACATTGGGGCGGGGGGGGGGGGCATGACACTTTGAAGAGATTACCTCAGCGTTGTGTTCATTTCGTTTTGCATTTTTAAACGCGAATGAGAATTCCCCCCCCCCCCCCTTCCACCAATGGTGTGTGTACCCGCCAGTCAGCTTTGGCGTTCACGGAGCAACGAAAGGAAATTCATAAATAATAATGAATAGCACGAAATTGTTAATTTAACTACGTTAAAGTTGATGGATGGGAAAATGGAATAGCGCTGGCTCACCACGGGGCTCATGGTGTGGTACCTGCCTATCTAAACCCTATGGTTTGAAAGCCAAATCCTTCGCAAGTTGCATCCACACACAGACAAACTGACAAAAAAATTACGTTTATAGGTAAGATGTATATAACGTCAGAATCAACGTCTGGCAGAATCGTTGTCAGAATCTTTATTGATACCCAAGAGAGGGAGGGGAAATCTGAAGATCTACAAGGCTCTTGTGCACAGATTGTGGTGAGTCTATGGGTCCCTGCGTGGTGAGTGTAGTTTGTGTGTGTGTATGTGTCGTGAGTCTAGTGAGTGTGAGTCTAGTGTGTGTGTGTGAGTCTAGTGTGTGTAAGTCTACTGTGTGTGAGTGTGCCGCAGGATTCGCTTCTCCTCCTCCACGAAGCTGGCGTCGCGGTTGGCCTGTCCCCGCTCTCGCTTCTTCCGCTCCCTCTCCTGGAAACTCTCGGCAGGCCGGGACGACGACAGCGATGAAGACGAAGAGGCGAGGAACCCAGGAGGAGGTGGAGCCGGCGTTTGATGCGACAAGGTGGAGGCGGCGGTGGAAGCCTCAACGTGGTCACCATCGGCGTCTCCCTTCACCACGACTTTGGCAGGCGCAGAGATGGGCGGGGAGAGAGTGGGGGAATTGATGTATTAGAGCACAAAAATATTCCCCATGTGGCCTGTAATGGCCTGTAATGGACTGTTGGGGCCAGCGCTCTTCGCGAGGAGTAGCGCCCTATGAAGGCCGGCACTGTGGCACATGACAGGTGTGGGTGGCCAGCCCCACGCCTACTACGCCAGTGGCGATGTTTACTAGACACACCAGGTACACTCATTTTGTGGCTGAGTTGACCTATGGGGGAGGCCCAGGACTGGTTCAGATGATCGTCACTGATGTTGGGCGCGAGCGGGAATCGAATTCGGGTCACCGGGTTCATAGTGCAGCGTTAGCGCTAACCACTGCGCCGCCGCTCCCCACACCCACTCACACACACTCAGTCTACATCACTATAGTACACCACACAGTGCAGTATACAGTACGCTATGGAGTACATAATACAGTACACTACACTCCTATATACTACACTATACGTACACTACTATACACTGCTATATACACTACACTACTATATACACTACACTATACACTACTGTACACTACACTATACACGACACTACTGTACACTCACGTTGTCATCTCGTACCGTCAGGTCGAGTACTACCTCTGGTGACATCCACGACCATCCACACTGCCGATCTCTCGCTGCCCCTCGTAGCTGGTTGAGCGAGCAGAGCCAGTGGTGATCTTGAGGTCGTCAATCCACCTCCTCCCGGGGTCGACCTCTGCGCCCCCCCATACTACCCTCACCGTTCCCGAGCAGGACCGATGATTCCTCTTGTCCAGAGGTCCTCGCAACGTTGCCCAAAGTTTGTCCAGGTTCTGCTTCGCCAGTAAGAAGGGGGGGACGCCGATCTCCCTCAGGACGGATGGTGTTTGATATTTTAAGGTCCGTGGTATCGGCAGCATCGCTCGGCGTCCACGGCTCGCATCCATAAAGGGTAACGGGAGCTTTGAGAAGCCTCTTCTTGGCATTCATGGTAGTGCCCCCTTGTCTCTCCATATCCGTATCCGATTGAGCTGTGGACGTGGCCATTCTACGGAGATCTGGCCGCCTTCCTCATCTCGTGGCTAAACTCCCCATCTTTGGCAATCAGCGAGCCCGGGAGTAGAAAGTTCTTCACGGCTTCGGTTGATTCATTGCCCAGGCCGGATAAGTCAAGCTGTTCTGTCGCCGTCACCTTCGCCTTTTGGCGTCGACCCTCAAGCCATCGTCTGGTAGACTCTCTTCACACGTAATCCACGTCACTTCACGGGCCACACAAATAAAAAAAAAGCTTTGCTGTGGTCAATGCAGCAAAGGCACGGCTGCTGCCGGTATATTTTGTCTGACCTTTTGCATTGTCCGTCTGATGCTCGCAATGCGCCCCCCCCCCCCCCTTGCATCCAGTAGTACTCATGCTCCACAGCCTCTCCATGATATGTTGAATCGTCAGCAAAACCTTTTTGGGTATGGGCTACGGCGGGAGTCATAGTGGGGTTGTTAGAACGTTATCTGGGGGTCGCCTGTCTTAAGTATAGGTGTACTAAATTTCGATTTAAAGCTTTCATGACTGCAGGGATTAATCTTCTTGGTTCTTTCGGTAAAGTCACGTAGAATGGAAATAATAAAATAATAAAAATAAAACATAATAAGATAATTCTCACGACGTTTCGGCCACAACGCAAGCAGCCGTCCTCAGGTGAAGAACAGGTCTGTCAGAAAGACAGGTCTGTCAGAAAGACAGCGTCTGAATGAACACCACCAGGCTTGGCAGCGTATATTTAAGCTGGGTTGGAGGGGGAAGAGTGCCTTGACAAAGGAATTTGCATATCCAGCTGAAATATACGCTGCCAAGCCTGGTGGTGTTCATTCAGACGCTGTCTTTCTGACAGATCTGTTCTTCACCTGAGGATGGCTGCTTGCGTTGTGGCCGAAACGTCGTGAGAATTATCTTTTCATGTTTTATTTTTATTATTTTATTATTTCCATTCTACGTGACTTTACCGAAAGAACCAAGAAGATATAGGTGTACTAGTTCATAAACATCTGTCTGTCTTCGCCAGGCGAAATGTTTCAATGAATATAATAATTAACCTGATCATGATTTTGTTTGCAATGTTTATCAACGATCAGACACTAACATCTACGACATTGACGACTTGATTCGACTTCGTATAATTATTTAAAGATGTGCCCATCGAAAGCCGCTCGATTTAAAGATTCAGTTCGTTTTGTTATTTGAGAAATAACAAAATGAATGAACGTAAACTACTCTATGAGGGAAAGCTCTCCTATATTTTACCATTATTGAATTATTTGAACATCATAAAATGCTGATTTTTTTTTCATAAAAAACGCTTGAATACGAAATCTCAAATACAATATAAAATATGGAACGATGGTTCTCGCTTTCATTTTAATTGCTGTTTAACGCTCTGTTAAACAAAACAAGACCCGTAATCTTATATTTTGAATGGTTTCTGAATGATACCACACACAAACGTGTTTATGGGGCACTTCAAATCGAGATTTGGGGACCTTAAATAAAAAATAAAATCTCGGACTTTCAAAAATATCCTGTTGTTTAATCTTAATTTTGGAGCTTTCGTGACGGCAGGAATTGGTTTTTTCGGTAAAGTCACGTATAAAGATAAAATAATAAATTAAATAATAGCATACGACGTTTCGATTGCAACACAAGCAATTATCATCAGGTATAATGAAATAGCAACATAAAATCTAACCAGAAAACTATAGACAGACATATAAGCAGACAGATATCACCAAGAGACGATCCCCCTCTCTGTACCTGTGTTGCTCTCTCTATGTATCTGCTTATATGTCTGGCTATAGTTTTCTGGTTAGATTTTATGTTGCTATTTCATTATACCTGATGATGATTGCTTGTGTTGCAATAGAAACGTCGTATGCTATTATTTAATTTATTATTTTATCTTTATACGTGACTTTACTGAAAGAACCAAAGAATAAATCCTGTTGTTTGTGTACCAAAAGCTACCTGTGTGTACCAAATGTCAGCTGTCTACCTTGTTGTGAAGTACCCGAGAGCTTTTTGAGACTAAGTATAGATGAAGGTCTGTATTTATATAGATAGATATAAGATAGATGTGTCCTGTTGTTTGTGTCCCTACAAGCTACCTGTGTGTACCAAAGGTCAGCTTTTATCTTGTTGGGAAGTACTCTACAGTTTTTTTAGACTACATACAGATTAAGGTCTTAATTTATATAGATATAAGAAATATTTTTCTCCCGTTGTTTGTGTCCCTACAAACTACCTGTGTGTACGAAATGTCAGCGTTCTACCTAGAACTGTTTGAGACTACGTACAAATTAAGGTCTTCATTTATAGACATAGATAGCCGATATATTTTTATCCCCTGTTGTTTGTGACGTAAAAGCTACCCGTGTGTACCAAATGTCAGCGTTCTACTTTGTTGGGAAAGTATGCTACAGCCTTTTCGAGACTACGTATGGACCGAGGTCTTTATTTTACACATGACGCTGAACGCGTCCGGCCTCTGGGCCACTTGCCACTGGACCCAAATCTGTTGGCACTAAACTGTGGGCTGCATCTTAAAATAGCCTCATCTCCTGCCCCCTCCCCTCCTTGAGCTCAATGGGGTCTGCCACTGACCCCCTCCCCCCCCCCCCCCCCCGGGGGCTCTGTTGTTCGTTGGCTGCTCCTTCGGGGCTCAGCCAGCACACTTCATGCTCAGTCGCAGGAGGTTCTCTTTCGTACTTTCCCGCACAACATTGTTTCGTTAATCCTTTTGTCTACCGCATACCGCATCCCTGTCTATTCTCTCTTCTTCATATTCTTCTTCGTCTTCTCCTTCGTCTTCTCCTTCTCCATCTTCTTATTTTCCCTTCTTCATCTTCTCGTTCTTCTCCTTCTACTTCTACTTCTCGTTCTTCTCCTCCTCGTTCTCCTCCTTCTCGTTCGTCTTCTTCTACATCTTATTATTTTTCCTTCTTCTTCGTATTCTCCCTTCTCCTTCATATTTTTCGTGTTCTTCTTCTCCTTAACAATTCTCCTTTCTTCTTCATCTTCTTCTTTGTCTTCGTATTCTTCCAGAATATCCTCCCAATGGCATTCTTAAGGCCACCTACTCCTGGGGTAAGACCTTCCAGCGACCTCTCTGAATTTCTTGAAGGAGTCCTCTCATCCCTTCCCGCTCCGCTGTCGTCTTTAGGCGTGAAGGGGGCTCCTCCGACGCGTTCTTCTTCCTCACCTCTCCGTTGCTCGGTCGCCGCAATTCCACGTTCAATTACTCAACTTGCTCGAGGGGCTCTGCGCTCGCCCGTGGCCATTGTCTTCCCTGTTCTGTCGGCCATCGCCGCTGCGTCTCGCGACAGACTTTTTTTTGCTCTCTTTCTCTCGGCTTTTTTAGCCGATGCGTTGCGGAACCTTTGCACTCGCCGCGGTTCCCTTTTGTGTCTTACGTTTCCGGGTCGCGAATATTTTGCTGGCGAGTGGAACAGAAGTCTATTTGCCGTTGCCAGCGTCTGCGCGAACCTCCACCTCGTTGTGGGTTGACCCCGCCGGGTGGATGGAGCACACAAGCCCCTCCACTGCCACTACACTACTATACACTACACTATAAACTACACTACTATCCACTACACCACACTACTATACACTACACTATAAACTACACTAATATACACTACACTATAAACTACACTACTATCCACTACACCACACTACTATACAATACACTACACTATAAACTACACTAATATACACTACACTACTATGCACTACACTATTAAACACTACACTGAACACTACACCACACACTACACCAATATATACTTACACACTACACCACAAATGACACCACTATACACTTACACACTACACTATACACTACACAATACACCACTATACACTTACACACTATGCCACACACTACACCACTATACACTTACACACTACACGGTACACTACGCCAAATGCCATTCCGAGACCAACCGACCCACCGACCGACCACCACCACCACCCCGCCCCGGTGCTCACCACCATCGTATCCATCCGTGCGGGTGCAGGAGGCGGCCTCCTTGGCCTTCTCTTCCTCGTCGTCGCGGTACATCTGGGACCAGCGCACGGCCAGGTCGGGCCCAGTGGGGGCTGCCCGCTTCACCGAGGCCGCGGCAGGGGAAGCCGCCGCCGCCGCCGGAGCACGGGCGGCGGTGGAGAGCCACGGCTTGAACTCTCGGGGGGGCTAGTAGGGGGGAGGGGGGGGTGGGTGAGTGGGTGGGTGGGTGAATGAGTGAGTGGGTGGGTGAGTGAATGAGTGAGTGGGTAGGTGGGTGAGTGTGTGGGTGAGTGAATGAGTGAGTGGGTGGGTGAGTGAATGAGTGAGTAGGTGGGTGAGTGTGTGGATGAGTGAGTGGGTGAGTGAATGAGTGGGTAGGTGGGTGAGTGTTTGGGTGAGTGTCTACACTACACTATACACTATACTAAGCACTATACTAAAAAAACTACTGCACTACACACTACACTATACCCTGGTACCAGGCTAGGTGCACCACCCCACCTCCTCAGGCCCTTTGACGGCCCGCCGCTCCCAGTCGATGTGTCCCCTGTAGGGGTTCTGCAAGAAGCTCGGCTCCAGCACGCGGCTCAACAGCACAGCGGGTGACGGGAGGCGGCCTAGACACACACGGTGACACACACTCATACAGTGACACTGTTGTATACTAACCTTCTTCCAAAATTGAGATTAATAATATTTGATGATTTTTTTTATATATTATCTTTTTACTTGTTTTTTTAATGAATGAAACACACCAAAAGCGCAGCAAACTGCAAAACACCAGGTGTTGTTAAGTAATGAACCGGAGGAGGGCTAGGATGGCAGAATTTGCAACCTTGCTTCAAGGAAAGATAAGGCCTGATGAACGGGCACATGTCACCCGTGCAGGCGGCAGAGACAGTGGGAGTGTCAGCCAGACATAGTTAAGGCAAAAAGCCCAACCATCCTGCATGGTTTTAAAGTAACGTCAAAATTCGAAATTCAACAACAGAGTAGGCTAAATTATCGATCCTCGCGCTCGCTCAAATTGGAGACCAGGCTGCGAGCTACATAAATGAACCATTGCCCATTTGCTAATCCAATACTGAATGTTAATATTACTGAAGTCAAAACGAATTCTATGACCTCAGCACATGGGCAAATAATAGGGCAGTGTCAACTCAAAGGCAATGGAAGAAAACAGAGGCGCCTTTGTCTAAATCACAACCACAGAAAGCCAGGAATCATCACTGATTGTGTGTTCAGGGATTCCGAGCTAGTTAGAACACGTGCACAGGGGGGGGGAGCTGATTTAAACAACCCTGCACGTCTGAACGTGAGGGGGCCTTTGACCTGAAAGTAAGAATAACACTCCCAGAGCAGAAGGTTGGATGACCACAGTGAGACGAGAATAAGAGTGGTGTATATCTCTCAAGGAGGCAGACCCAGCTGAACAACAAGGCTGCGGGGGTCACCAGAAGTTCGCATTCGCCTAGTTAAGACAAAAAGCTCAATTATTCTGTATTGCTATTAAAGTAACGTTAAAGTCGGAATTTAACAACAGGGTAGGCTAAAGTTATTGATATTCACACCCACTCCAATTAAACCAGGCCACAAGTTACGCCTACTGAACCATCACCATTATTAAGTCAATATGAAATGTTATTTCCATACTTCAATACTTTCTATACAACTCGACCCGAAGCATATGACAATCAGAACCTTCCTAAGTCAAAATTGAATCGCACCCAGACAGGAGCGAATAGTCGATATAAGGTTGACGAGGGAAAGGAAATTAAGAGCACGGCGAACTGCAAACGTAAGCAAAAAGCCGGGAACAACACCAGCCCAGCAACAGCGAGTGGGGCTTCGACAGGCCATAAAGTAGAATAATAACTCCCGGGGTCAGGGGACACAAGAAGAAGCAGGCAGACAAAAACCAGAACTGACTCCAAGGTTCAACCGCCCTCACCTACTCAGGAGGGACGGAAATTAATGAGGCCTTGAGTTAACGGCAGGCAACAACAACGGCGAGCAGAGATAGGGTGGGGCAAAGACTGCGGGCTATGAATGCAACTTCGTGTCAGTAAAGCCCTGACAAACAAGTTAAGTTAAAGACATCACAATACATAATATCGCACATAACATCAATGTTAACGCTATTCACCGTAAACTATATTCCGCTTATATAACCATCCAGGCACCAAGGAATACGAATTCCTAGGATCAAGAAACTTACCCCTTAACCTAAGATATCGGAAATAAATTAATAGTAATAAGTATATGCATGAAAAGACAAAGTAAAACTTATGAAAAGCCAGGATAACGGGATGAATCACAACCAGGTCGAATATAATACATAATAAAAAAAACGATGTTAAACCCAGGGTCGGAGAGAAAGGGAGATCCCGGCCGTCTTTGTATCCCCGCAGCGCGGGATAGGAGTGTGTATACGCTCGGGGAAACACCTACACTTGAGTCAAGCACCACGATGGGAAACGACAGACCTTAGGTTACATACAGAATCATAACTGTGAAATAGTAAGGGACAAATGTTAACTTAAAACTTTTAACCATTTCTTTGTGCGCCGGGTCGGAGAGAGTGTTGCCCCTCCCTCCAGGTTGTGCAACACGAACAAAGACGCCTATGAGACGATTTGTAACGTCTGTGTTTTGGGTCATGAAGAAGGCCAGACAAGAGATAATATTGCACCCAGACAGAGAGACGACTTCGAGGCAATTTGTAACATCTGATTGTTTGCTCGTGGGTTTTATGGAGGGAGTGTGACAACGAATATACCGTCAGTGATGCACACAAGGACACACGGACATACGGACAGACACATGGACACACCTGCCTACGGACAGATCCTGACACAGCAAAAATCGGAAGAAGCCCCGCCTTGTGGGCGGGATCCAGGGGGAATTTTCGGCATAAAGTAAAGGATCCTGAGCATTGGAAACCAGTGCGACGGGAGGGTCCACTCAGAAGCTCGACCGGGAGGGTCGACTCAGGAACGAGTGTGACGAGAGGGTCCACTCAGGAGCGCGACCGGGGGAGTCGGCTCAGGAGGAGTGCGACCAGTGGGTCCACTCAGGAGTGCGACCAGAGAGTCGACTCAGGAGCGAGGGCGACCAGCGGGTCGACCCAGGAGCGAGCTCGACCGGGAGGGTCGACTCAGGAGCGAGCTGCGACCAGCGGGTCGGCTCGACTCATCTTCAGCTCGTCAACCTCTGCCGAACCGGGGGTCTCTGCTGCCACCGGAGTGGTGAGCATCGCGATTCGGCGACAACCCAGAGCTGCACGCTGCGAGCGAGTTGTGGGCGCCACCTACCGACCGGGTTCCGAACTGCGACAGCGTATCAACAGCCATCCGAACCAATTCGCCACGGGATCGACTGATACGTATGACGCGCACCGCCCCCTCACCACACGACCACCAGGCGTCTGTTTGACCTAAAGAATCGACTCCGAACACTGACTATTCAAGACAACTCTTACCACTCAAAAACACTCGAACCCATAAGCCATCCGTGGCTGGAAAGCATCACAACGAGACCGAGTGATGGCCCTCCGTCGTTTATAAGAGTATTCTTAATTTTTATCTTTAATATTTAGTGGGCTGTACTCTTAATCGCATAAATTCCCAACAGATCCATCAATACGAACTGATTCTTGGCACCTCCTTCCGCCGAGCCACGCTCACGTGGGGAGTGGTGGCCCACCAGACCCTTATCAGGTGATCTGGTCCCCAATTAGTAAACTTGGTATAAGATAACGAGCTTCGGAAAAGGAGCACCGTCGCAGGCCCTTACTCCGAGCCGTTCTGTTGTCAGATAACCTGCCGATGTATCTGTTGAGATTGGTGCCTTTAAGAATAATAACTGTTTTTGATTGTATTTTTTTTTTATCGCCGTATAATCTTTCAAGTATCTTTCAGTCATAATCGCCGCACGTACTCGCATCCTCTACAGAATATTCAACTGTTCCGTGACCCAAGGTGTTAACAACGTGATAAGGGTTGCGTATGATCAATAAGGAGTGCGGTACTGCGTGAACAATATTGAGTATAATCATTCATTAACGTTAAGGTTTTCTTAGCATAGTATTTGCATGTTTTAACGACTCTCTCTCTCACTAACAACCATCGCGTTATGCGGGATCCATGTGCCGTTGTCAAAGTGAAATCAGACAATCGTTGATGATACTGTATTGATGCCGTATTGACGTTCCGGGATTGAGAGTTCGCATACTATATCATAGTTAAGGTTGAATTAGTAATAAATTGATCAATACAGAAGTGGTTGTGTGATTCTTTCCTGAAATCTATGCATAAGATCTGCTTCTGCGTTGAGATTTGAACTTGGTGACCTTAATAAACACACTAATACATACTCAGTAAATGTTAAAGCGATAACGGGGTGAACCGGGGTCTGGTTATCATAACGACTTGCGTTATCATAATTACACCCACTCGCATAATTAATACGATTACCTCTCGAATTGGCATAATTAAAATGTGCGTAATTACATAAATTAACATATTTCCGGATAATTACACATTTGGCCAAATTTCATTTAATTATTATTATTTCCACTGAATATTCATAACCCACATATACAACATAATAATTTCACCCACGCACGCATACAACATAACAAATTTTCATACCCAACATATACAACATAATGGGGGCTCGTCCGGGATCTCTCGCAGACAGGTTATGCATGAATTCAGGAACGAATCACTGATGTGTTAATCAAAGTGTTGTGAACTAACGTTGCCTTGTGATTGTAAACGGGGGTATACAAACAAAACGCGCTCTGAAGGGAGATACCAGAGTAGCAGAGTATAACAAAGACAGCTGGGCTGAGATTATTTGCTCGAGTTGAACTGACGCATCCTGTGATACAATTGTTTATATGTGCTCTGAAGGGGAATTCTAGAGTAACTCACGACGCACATGAGATGTTAGAATTAAGATACACTCTTTAGTCTATTAACCACACTACATAATAGAGATGGCACAGGATCCACAACATTCTGAGTTTGACACACCAACGCATAACACTGATACAGAGTGGACCTCTGAGGAGGAGATGGAATCTATGGAAAAACAATATCGGGAATTTGTGTTAAAACGTACTGGACGGACTGCTAGCCAGCAGACGGAGCAGAGAGATATATGGGAGGGGAGCCATACAGAAGATGTTAAGGCCCATAGAAGGAAACTACTTAAGGACGTGATGAAATGTGGCAAAGCCAAACGTGACGTAAAAATTGCAGAAATAGCGAGGGTAGACTCGTATCTCCTCGCACAGACAGACAGAGAAAGATTATGGAATGAGGAAAAATTTGAAAGGGAGATCCCGGCCGTCTTTGTATCCCCGCAGCGCGGGATAGGAGTGTGTGTACGCTCGGGGAAACACCTACACTTGGGTCGGGCACCACGATGGGAAACGACAGACCTTAGGTTACATACAGAATCATAACTGTGAAATAGTAAGGGACAAATGTTAACTTAAAACTTTTTAACCATTTCTTTGTGCGCCGGGTCGGAGAGAGTGTTGCCCCTCCCTCCAGGTTGTGCAACACGAACAAAGACGCCTATGAGACGATTTGTAACGTCTGTGTTT